TCCCAAAGGCTCGGTGAACAGCTGAACTCTCAGCACCACAAGCTCATCCAGAGCTTTTCTTTCCAGAAGTGTGCCCTGCTGACTGGAAGATATTCCTGGTTTATGGCTTTTGTCAATTCATGACCGACAAGCTCCTGACAAGTGCCCTGCTTCTTACACATTCCCCTGGCAGCTGGGAGATGCTCCTGGATTGAGACCTCTCAAATGCAAAATTCACCAGATCAGACCTTGTTTGCAAATGGGATTCTTGATGCTGCATCAAGTGTTTTGATTCAGGACATACAGGCATTATCAGTTAGGGTTCTATATGTAAAGGACACCCCCTACATTCTCTCCTCATCATTTCCAGACCTGTTAGTGCTGTCTGTTCTCTTCTTGAGTCAGATTTTCGCACAAAGTTTTATGCCCACCTGCTCAGAATAAATTTCTAAGGACATCTGCAGCTAAAATTTGAGTAACATAAATTAGACACTGCAAAGATTATGTTGTAAATAGTCTTTCCAAACAGTTTCCTTAAACCTGGGGTGTAACTGGATTTTACTGATCACTGTATCAGCCATTCTGTGATTGTGTCAGTCTGAATCTTTTCTTTAGTTCCCACCTCATTGTTACTGGAGAACTTGTGAGATAGGAGTGAATTTTATCACTTATTCCTTGGAATGACAGAATCACAGAACAGTTTTGAGTTGGAAGGGACTTTAAAGCTCATCTCATTCCACGTCCCTGCAATGGGCAGGGACACCTCCCACTATCCCAGGTTGCTCCAACCTGGCCTTGGAAACTTCCAGGGATCCAGGGGCAGCCACAGCTTCCCTGGGAGCCTGTGCCAGACCCCTCTGTTGTTCAGCCTAAAAATCTTGAGTCTAGGGCCCCCAGAGAAAAATGTGATATAAAGACATTTAAAAAGCAAGGGAAGAGGGGAAAAAAACCAAAACAACACTGTGAGAATAGGCTTGCATGGAGATCCTCAGAAGAATGCTGAAAAAAAGAAGCAAATTCTTCCTGAAGATGAAGGTTATTAAAAATGAACATGAATTGTGCCGTTTTCCCTCTCTCACCCAATACAGGCACAGAACAGCTCCACTGACCAACACTGAGGCAGCATTACCCTGATAATTCACTTCCTAGGACAATGCAGTCTCTGTGCCAACCCTTACTCCATCCATCCCTTTCCTTGCTCCATCATCTTTCACCCAACTTTCCCCTTTGATCCAGAGTGCAGAAAGCTCCCTGCTGCTTTTTCCAGTAATTTCTGCTGCTTTAGCAGATTGGATCAGCCCAGCCCAAACCCAACAGCCACGAGGGTTGAGCCTGGAGTGAGGAGTGACTTCAGCACAAAATGGGGATGTGGGTGAAGAGTCAGATACAAAGCAGAGGAACTCTTGGTCTCACTGTTCTCCCATCAGTTTTTCTTAAATACCTTACAACTAAAACAACCTTTTTGGACAAGTAGAAAGTGATTGACAGGTTTTTGGAGCTGGCTGAACTGCTGGAGGAACAACTGAAATATCGTGGATGTTGAGGGCTTACTTCTAAAATTTCTGCATTACTGAGCTTCTGTTTCAGAATGAAGGAAGACAGTGGGGAGAAGAGTTCAGATGGACAACAGAAGCTCCCCCAGAACACACTTTGTCAGTATGTAAATACCCCACCAAATTCATCAAAACCAAATTCCAACACACATTTCTTTACTCTTACACATGAAGAAATGGGAACTCGTCATTTACCTCCTCTCTCCCATCTTCATTTTGAATGAAAGAGCTTCCAATGCCCAAGTATTTGTGACATCGAGAGGAAAACTTCTGGGATTATTAAATTTCAGAGAAATATTTTTGCAAACAAGGTTCTAGGAAATTAATTTGGCTTGATTTGCCATCCATCTGAATACTTTTAAGCCACTGGAAAAGCCCAGCTGCACACTGGAGCATCGGGATTTTTCACAAGGGATCCACTCTATTTCCACTGGAATAAAAAGTGGGATCTGTGCTCCCCTGGCTTCCCTGAAAGCCTCTGACCCAAAAGGATGTGATTCAGAACTTCTTCAGCTGAACAGGAAAAGAAAACTTTCACCAGAAAGCGCTGCTTTCATGGGTGGTTTCCCAGAGAAGTGGTAAATGCTGAGTTTGGGGCAGGAGTGGAAGCAAAACCATCCTGTGGTTTGAAATCACCTTCTCACAAATGAATCACGGTCTCACAGCTCGGTTTTTGTACAAGCACAACACAGGGAAATTCATCAAGAGCTCGCTTCTGATCTCTATCATCCCAAATGGGCGAGGTCAGATGAGCCTTCATTCGTTGGGGTCTGTCCCAGTGACACAAGGTGAAGTTAAATAAAATGTAACCAAGCTGTTACAATTTTTAAAACCATTGCAGATAATATTTTTGATGGGCTTTGTGTTAAATTTAATAAAATTCAATTATCCCCAGAGACAACTTGCAAAACAGGCTCTTTCTAAAATGTCAGCTCAGAGAGTTAAAATGAAAATATTTAACCAGTGGTCTTTTCTAAGCTACTTTTAAAGTGGCTTTATAAACAAGTGATGAAAAATAAATAACCTAATTATTTATAAAAAGTACAGTAATTCCAACAATTGTGTGCCATTTTGCAACTTTCACAGCCTAAATGTTTTTCAACCCTGAAACATGGAAATATTTAAAGAAAACTCTTCCATCATGTAATTGCTGTGAGCTAAAGAGAACTATCTGTACCCTCTACTGACAAACACTAGCAAAAATTTCTAAAATTAACAGTTACTGCAAAGTTTAATTTTGTCTTGTACACTCAACACTGTAACTCAACAACAAAATTAAACCACTTCCCTGTTTATGTGGAAATTCCTAGAAGGAAACAGTTTTTCATGCTAGAAGGCTTGATAAAATGATTGGTCATATTTAAAAATAGCTTTTAAAAACAGATCAAATTTCAACTTATGTGCTGATATTGAAACCCAAGTATTCAAAATCCAGCTGAGAGAATGAAGACCACTCCAATCTTTAGGCAGCACTTAAAGAATGCAGATTAGTGTTATCTAGGTGAGATAAGAGCTCTCAAGCTGAAAAAATAAAGTCAGGCTTCAGTTACAAATAAAACTCGCCTCTAAATCACAAGTTGGTGAGGCAAAAGGCAGGAAGCTGCTGAAAGCCAGCTAAAATCAGCTCTGTGAGCAAGCAAAGAGATCTGGAGATGGAGCCAGACTGGGATGAAACAGGGCTGCTCCGGGAGGGAAAGGTCTGAAGGAGGATGAGGAGCACCACAGGGTCCCTTCAAGGCTTCCCTGGGACCCATCTTGGTTCAGACCTTTCTGGAGGCAGTGGAACACCTCAGGGGGTCTGCAGACAGTGCCAGGGGCAGGGATGGCATTCCAGGCAAACTCTGGGTACACGGGAATTTCATGGAATTCCACAAAGACAAATGTGGTGTCCTGAGCCTTGGGACACAGCAGCCTCTGCACCAATACAGGTGGGGACTGCCAGAATGGGAAACAGCTCTACTGAAAACAACCTGGAGGTTTGGTGGACACCACACTAAAAAGTAATTTCAAAGAGGAAATTACCATCTCTACTCAGAGCCGTTATGATGAAGTGACATTTAAAAAGTGACATTAAAACCAGGCAGGTGGCAGATTACAGAAATCAACTGCACGGGGCCTGTGTCCAAACTGCCAATGCTCATCTCAAACAGGAATCACCTTTAAATCTGAAATAATTTGAAGAAAAAAATTATCCATCTAAACTTTAGATCACAACTGGCCCAAGGAGTGTTCCCTGGCCCCCAGGCCCCTCATCCCAGGCTGAGCACATCCAAACCAGATCCCTGCCCAGGGCTCCGTGGAACGCTGCCCTGGTGGCAGAGCAGGTGATGGGGTGCTGTGGGGCTGGTTGTTCTCTAAGTGGGACAGATCCTAGTTTTACACAGGGCTGAGCTGGAAGGCAGTAAACGATGCCAATGTTTTCACAGCACACTAATGGCACACACTCCACGCTCTCAGGCAGGAGATGAGGGAATACTGAAGTGCTGAAGCTGCAGGAATTCTGGTTCAGCCCTGCCTGTGCTGCCTCCTGGCACTGGCCCTCAGACCGTGCTTTGTGTCATCTCATTAGACACCACTTGGCACAAGCTACAACACTATCAGGGAGCTGAGCAGGGTTTGTGTTCCCTCCACAGCCTCATTTCACTGGGAATTCCACAAACAGGCAAAAGAGACCGGCCACGGATCGTCTCTAAAACATTGTTCATATCTACAGTCAATCATACAAAAACATTTAAAAACAATCATTGAGTTGCCTTACCCGTTTCCATTTTTTTCCAGAAAAAGCAAACAAACAAGAAAATCCCAAACCAAACGAGCAGAAACAAAACAAAAACTGTGTGTTTTACCCTCATAAAAGAGTTTGGTATCTTTCAGAAAATACAATAATCATATCCTAAATGTTTTTGAGTACTGTATCCCTCCTGCATTTCTAAAAAGGATGGATGTAGCATCCAACTTTAAAAGTCAATCTGCCACAAGAACTTCTGCAATTTCTTAGAAAAATTAGTTGTTTTCCTCATGTGCATCTCATTTAGGGATTAAAGATACACAAAGAGTTAAAGCTATTAAACACAATTCTGAGCTATACAAATTCTTAGCATTTTCAAAATGATTATACAGACACTTTCTAACAGAACATTCAGAATAAACATCTTTAGCAACTTCTCAGGTGTATCAGCTTTAATGGTGTCAATGTTCAGAATTAAACCAGCAAAACTTAACTCATTTGATGCCATCATTAGAGAAAGTGGAAATCTTCCCAAGTGAGACAACAGCCTCATTTAGGCAATAACCAAAACCAGATCAGACAGCAATGCCTAAATAGTATTCTAATTACAATATACAATTTTGCTGTAAATGCAAAATACAATCTTAATTTTCCTAGTTTTAATGAGGCAGATGAATATCTCAAAGTTCAGAAAGCAAAAGAATTTGAGAAATATTCTTTTTGGCCAAGATACTGCATTCCTCTTCATTATCTATTCACTAACTATAGACAATGTTTCCCTCATGTAATTAAAGAGTTATAAAACCAGAGAAATGCATCTTGGCGTTTCTTACATGCCCATCACAGTTAAGAGTACATAGGGGTTTGCTTTTAATTACATTGCCATTTCAGCATTTTGTATCAAATTTCCACCTAATTACAGATCCATATAAAATCCTTAAAAAAAGAAGTTATGTTTTAACAAAGTAAGGAATCTCCAAAGGTGATATGTAGCCATTTAAATTAATTGAAGAACTTGTAGCCCTCTTGCCAACTAACGGTCCTAACATCCCATCAGGGCCAAGCAGTGCAGTTTAACAGTTCCCAACCAGCCACCTCCATAAGTAACTCAAGCATAACACAGAAATTAATTATAATTTTGCACTGACTGCATCCTGAATGAAACAGATTATCCTGCAACACTTTAACCAGAAACACCAGCAAAACGTAACATTACCAAGCCTTTCAGGAGGTGTTTTTAGATTTGGAAACACTTAATTTCCCTTCCAGACCCAACAAAACAGGGAGTTGGGAACCCCAGAGGTGTTGTTGCTGCAGGAACACTGCGACATCAGCAGGATTTGGGGTGACACAGCCACCGCTCAGACCTTCGCTAGCACCAACACCACACAAGTGTGTCCCTTACTCATTCTCTCCCTAACGAAGTTGCTCCACGAAGGAATCCCAGCACAGTTCATTAGGAGAACCTCACAAAGAAAGTCCCAACAGCACAGAGGTAAAGGCCCCCATCCTGCTCATTCTCCTTTGACTGCGCGCCTGGAAACGGGATTAATTAATCTGGGAGAGCTGGGGAGCAGGAGCTGGGAAAGAGAGGCACATTCTTTCACTGAACCACTTGAGAAAGAGCCCAGTTTTCTGCCCCCAGCTGTGAAGTGCTGTCACCAGCAGGACCTCACACCTCCAGCTCCCAGTCTGAGCTGATCCCATCCCAACACCACCAGCGCTGCCTCCAGCCGCTCCTGGCTGCAGGAACAAGTAGTGTTCCCACAAAAGCTTCCCTCCTTTCCAAGGGTTTTTCTAATACCTCTAACCACATAACCAAAGATTTATGTCCACAGTTAGTAAGTGAATTGTCTGTTTTTCTTGTTTCCAGTTGCAGCTCTAACTAGGAAACTCTGAAGAAAACCATAAATGTTGACTTTCCTCATCAAGAATTAAATTATTGTGAAACCATGACGATAATTATGCAATGGAAAAACCCTTCCCTGCTCTCTTTGCACCAACAACTGAAGGATTTGATGTATCTAACGTACATTTGGGATTCCTGGCCACAGAGATATGCAACATAAACAACATGGCAGTAAATATTCATTTTCTGTGGGATTAAACCTAAATATGCTCTGCTGTTTGGCACCGTAGTCACAAACTGTTTCTAAGAAAAAACCCCTCCACCACAGACAGTGCAGGGAAAGAAGACAAGAGATCCCACATAAAGTCACTGGCATGCAATATCACTTCAATTCCATATGGAAATAACAGGAAATAAGATGCGCCGAATTTGAAGCACCAAGGCAACAAAAACACATTAAGATTTCATCACACAAGAACTTGGCTGTAAAATTCGTCATTTTCTTGATCTTTTTACAGAGTTTTCATTTTCAGGAACATCAGAGAGCTAACAGCTCATGGATGCTACCAACCAGCTCAAGCAGGCATTTGCATTAAGCTGCTTTCAGTTAATGAAGTGGTGGAAATGTATCTCTCCTACACCAAAAAACCTCATCCATAATCAGATTTCTTGTCAACTTCTCTCTTTCTACAGCTTGGAGAAGTGGAGAAGGTTGGAAGAAAAGGTAGAATGAATAGGAATGGAAAACATTGGGGAAGCTGTTATTTTTTTCCCTTTCTTCCCTTGAACTAATGATATGACAAAAATTAATGTCTATGGTTAAACAGAGAAGAAAAAAAGTACATCTGTCCTCATTTGCTAATTAGCCAAACTCATCACCTAAGGGATTTTGCCCCCAGATTCCAGAAAGGTGGGAATGGGAGAAATTAAAAAACAAACAAAACATTCAAATACTCTCAATTAAACCCAGCTGAAAACTATTATTCCCACTAACAGTAATTCTCCTCTTGCAGAAAAGAGCTTTTCCCTCACATGGAACACCTGCCCCTCAACTTACACCCAGCATAAGCAAACAAACTTATTTAAGCTTTTTCTTCAGCAAAGCCTCGTGTGTGAAGGGTAGAGATGCAAATAAACTCATGACAGCAGCATCTCTCCGGAAATGTTTGGAAAGCAGAGTTCTCCCAGAACGATGCTCACATGTTCTGATGTTGCATTAGCACAATTACAGCTCTTTTCAGAGCCCAGAAGATTTAGGGTTTGTAACTGTTAAGTATTAACAGATTACTTAGAAATAGTTAACAGATTTTTGAGCTGTAATCATTTATAACATCAACCTCTCTGTAACACAGTCTGTGCCTGAAAACAGTATTAAATAGGTTTATTTAATGAAACAAGTCCTGCTCTCAACAGCATTAGTATATTACCAGTGGTAATATACTTAATATAAAAACTTGTACACTCTGATAAAGTAAAGGAATCTTTACTTTAAAAGCAGTACTAATTCTGAAGTGGTTTATTGCCCCACAATAAAGTGAATAAAGTGATTATAGTCCAACCACAATCATGGACAGTTCACAGGGAACACACCAGCAGAAAATTTCACATTCACAAACCTGTGGCAAGATTTTCAAGAGTTCAAGATGATAATGAAATGATAGTAAAAAAAATAACCTTACACAAGTAAAACCAAAGAAAAATTGAATGTTCCCCCTCAATTCCTTCAGGACACCGAACAATTCAGCTTCTAAAGTCATGGAAAAGCAGGTCTTACAGTTCTTGATATTTTTTTTTAGGGGGGAGAAAAAGATACAGTTTAAAAAATAATTTCTCTGACAATAATTGCTGTGAGACAGGAGAATAATAAATTAAATATCAGAGAATAAAATATCCTCCATACAGTGAAAATACTACTCCAGCTACAGAGGTATCTTGGACATGCCAGTGCCGTCAGCTAAATTACTCAAGACCTTCTGAGTGGCTTGGGAATGATCCGGCATTAGGAGAAACAGTGAGGACCAACACTTTTCTGACACTGTTCCTTTCGCTTAGGTGATCTTTTAGCTTGATTTTAGCTTCAATTCTAAAAAATCCAGGTGTTGTTCCCTGTAGGAGACTGCAGAACTACTTTGATGAGGGACCACCCAGGGACCAAAGGCAGAGCAGGTACCTCAGGAGAGATGATGGGCTGGGAAATGAGTTTATGAGTAACAAAAGGAACGCTGAGATTTTAAACTAAGATTATGGGTGAGGAAAATCCACTATTTCAGCATCTCCCACACTCTCAGCTGCACAGGGCGCATGTTTTGAAAATCTCAGAAAATTATGAAAGCGCCCATTCTCTGTTCCTGAAATGTTTTAAAGTGTAGCTCAGCAATCACAAAAACACCAGAACACAGCCACACTTCCCTGGGGGAGGGGAGCACACAGATAATATCTGAAGAGAGCCTTCTTTGATGAACAAGCTATTTCAGTCACAAGTTTTCTTGTGAAGCTCCCCTACAATCTTGCCTCACCTACAGCAGAGGCACAGGAAGTTTGTTCTCAAGTATTTTATTACTCAAGATTTTCTGCTCCTTCTGAAATCAAACATGCAATCAGGTTTATCTAAGAAGTATATTAGAGGGCACGTGGAGAACCTTGACCCGAGCACTTTGTTTTCTTGTTTAGCTAATGTGTATTCATCTCAGCCTCTGGAGTTCCTACAGATGGGTTCAAACCTACACCCACTTTTATCCAAGCATCTACAAATATTTTAAAGCCTAATAACAACACAGATGCTCTTTTTCAATTATCTTAGTCAGAACAGGGAAATATTTTCACTCTGTTAACAAAGATGATTAGATTCACTGGAAATTCCTGTCCATTTGTAGTACATTTCAGGATTTCATACAGCAGTTTACAGATAATAAAATAAATCGCTTTGAACCTAAAGAGCACTTCCACACCCACCACGAAGAAAAAAACCACAACATTTCCACCTATTAAAAGAACCCCGGTATTAATTGGTCGTGTAAACATCTGCAGAAAATAGCTGTATTTAAAAATAAATGAACAAATACAGCAAACCAAACCCCCAGTCGCTGAAACAGGCTGTGAGGAGCTGGAGTTTCACACCAGAGAGGCATCTCCACACCTGAACTCCAGGATTATCTCAACCATTGCCAATATTCCAAGATATAGAACACCGGCAGACTGATTTTCACGTTAAAGACAGGAAAAGAAACTTCTGGTGATGATGATGTTAGAACCAATTTATCAGGTAGGGTTTAAAACTGAAATGAATTAAGAGACACTACTCATAAAAACACCTGTACTTCAAGCTTAAAATCTCATATAAACTTGTAATTCTGATCATAAACCAAACAGTTTACTGCTCAATTTATTTATTTTTAGGCTTGCCTAGAATCTCAAAGTGTCTGCAGTCCCGGTGTGAGTAGAAAATAGTATAATAATTGTTAAGTACCGGAACACTTAATGTATAATACTGGAATAACCACCAAAACAATGTCATTAACATGAGAAGCAGCCCGGATTGCAGGCAGTTTCCTGCTCATTTAGCCAAGATTAATTCTTCACAGGCAAGAGAAACATTCTTTTCACCTTACCAAGGACAACCTGAGCGAGAAATATTAAAGGAAAGGAGTTCTTTATTGCTTAGCTGGTCTTTTTATTAAGTCTGATAGTTAATGTCAACAAAAACCACTATTCTGTGCTCTAGGCAAAAGGATTTTAGAGGTGGACGTGGAAGAGAGACAGACATGGAGAGCAGATGGCAGCAAATCTTTTAGAAACTGTTAGTTGAGAGGGGGAAAAAAGTTTCCCTGCAAAACATATTGCTGAATTAAGAGGAACCCTGCTGAGCTGAAAAATCAGGCATTAGGAAAAGCCAACGCACACGTCTTTACTGCAAGACAAAAACGGTCAGAAATCATGTTTTATTTCCAAAGAAGAACAAAAATTAAACGTCCTGAACAACCTTCCGGCTGTCCTTACCCCGCTGTGCCGTTTCTCTGCTTAGCACAGGCAGGGTTTTTGGGTTTCTCCCTGGCAGCGCTCGCCATTTCACAGCACATTTAGCGCACACAGCGCGGATCGATAGCACTACAGACACAAGACGAGACTTATCCATTTACTAACCACAGCAAAACGGCCTCTTCAGCAAAATCCTACAGCTCCTAACGCTGGAAATTTAAAAGGCATCGTTACAGGGATCTCATTACTTCCTTCTCCCGGTCACACGGGGAGGGCTGAGCACTTGTCTGGGAGCTTTTAGCCTGATAAACAAGTGTAGCTTTGCACACCCTGCAAGGATGCTAAAAACCTACACAGAGCACTAAATACACGTTCCAAATGCGGGCACAGCGTGTCAGGCTGGCTTGTAAACTCGCATTAGATCCTCACACAGCTCGTAAGAGGGTTTTTTGTGACACTGATGGAGCTCCAAGCACAAATGGACCAACAGTTGCCCAACCACTGGTTGCTGCCATAACAATTTTCCTTCTGAAGGAGCGTGGGTAAGTCCTCACACCCCGCTCGCTTCCCAGGACTCAGAGCTGGCGTTTGAACCTCAAATTCTGCTGTTTTAAAGAGAAAATTAGTAGAGGTTTATTTTTTTTGTATTTTTCTTTTCTGCACTACAAGGCAGTGACACAGAGAATAGATAAATACAAAAGGTTACAAATTACTCTTTTGAAACTGAAAGCCTGGCTTTTCACCCCAATTCTGTTGGTTCATCTCTACATGCACACACCCCTCGCTATCACCAAAGGACGAGCTCAGCCTTTCCGAGCGACACCTATTCTAAATTAATGAAGCTTTAACGAAGGTCGCTATTCACCAGTGAATAGTCCAGGGTAAGAGAGATCAAACTGAAGGGAAGAGCATTTCAGCTGGGTAATTCTGATTTAAAACCAGCATCCAACACCGATAACTGCGCTGCCAGGTTACTTATGTGACACTAGGTGGTTATGTCTCCACATTTATTCCACACAATTGATCTGAAATCCAAGCGCTGTGAGCATTTCAAGTGCTCACGTTACATATTTGTTAAGAATAAACACGAAAGCAGCTTCTTTATAGTCGCTGCCATCCACAAACATTT